AGCTAGAGAGCTGAGTTTAAAATTTTTATCTTGCACGTGCATAGAGAATATCCCTGCAAAGTTTCAACTTTCTACGTTGCCTGGTTCGCGAAATCGCTTTTCGCCAACAAATTTCTTTGGGGGTCCCGTACGCGGTGTTTAGGCGCGTATGGGGAAAGGTCTTAAAACGGGAGGATGACGCACGGGGTAGGAACATATATTCAGAGTTTCAGCCTCCCAGCTTTCCTGGTTGCTGAGATGAAAGTGGGTGACAAAATGCATTCGCTTTCCGCACACACACAGCCTCTCGACAGTATGCGTTTTTGCTGGCTGTAGCAGCGCTATAGCGCTGCGCAGCAAAATCGCATAAAAACGACCACCAAACGGAAATTGTTTATTTCCTTTTATGCAAAATTTACGACGATTTACGGCACTGAAATTACAAGATAGGTGTGAAGAAACAACCACTGATACAGTTAACCTAATTCAAGTTAGGTGCAAAAACGCATGATCGCATCGGCTCGCCTGGTGCGTTCCAGCCTGAGTTTATTTCACGAGGGCTGTTGGCAATAAAAAATATGTCATCCGCGAATCATAATTGATTTTGCTGCTCACCGATCTTCATGACACCCTTGCTATGCTATTTCCGAAATATCATTTCAAGCATTTCAAGGACAAGTACTAAACGAAAAGTAGAAGTCGATTTCAGTGTTTTTTTTTTTATTATTGTTCCAACAATAGCGTTTATTCAATGCATTTGCCTATTGTAAGCGTAGGTTCCTATGTATGAAGCCTCCGGATATGCATAGTTCCTATGTACGAGCCCGCAAAAGTTTTTTGGGGGTAAGTTACTAACTTGGGAACCAGGAAAGCTAGAAAGGTAAAATTTTAAACAGATGCTTCCTAACAGTCCTGGCGGCCAACATCAATTCTTTTAGCTAGAAGCACTTGCTGGAAAAACTGGTGCCGGTGGCAACAAAAACTGCGTAGAACTATGCAAAAAATGCATCTCCATGCCGGTAGTCAGTGCGTTGGTCAATTATTTCATATCGATTCGGTAAAAACATAATAGATTACTTGTTCTTGCGCATGCCTGCTTGATTTATTCAAGAAAAATCTTAAGGCCTAAGGTTGTTGATTAAAATTTTTGAAACATTGTCCTATTTTGAAGCAATCAGTGTCGGGAGCTCTCTTGAACATCTTTATACACTCCTATCCTGCTCTAATAACGTTAAAAATGAGCGCAAGGAACGGAAAGAAGGTAGATTACCTTTTCATAGTGCAGTGGACTGCTGCATGCAAAATAGCGATTTAAAGCGAAGAACACTTGTGTAACGTAAATGACAATTTTGATGAAATAATGAATGGCTGTTGAAAAACGTGCCATTATTGTTAGGTAGAGCTGTGGCTTGTCATCAAATGCGAAATTTAGCAATTTATACTTGCGCCCGCGGTAAAGTATGTTGAATTCCAGGTACAGTATTGCGTCAGCGACTGTCTGCAATAAAAGACCGGCGTGAGCATGGTTCGCCAGCCTTCTATCTCTTACCGCTGCTGGGGGTCACTTGCAGCAACTTCCAATTTACCAAAAACATCTACAGTTTCGCTAACAGTGTTTAGTAGCTGCTCTGCTGACTGGTAGCAGCAAACGAATGCCATTGATCTGCTTTGATGTTGCATCCTGAATTTAATTGAATTGCCCAGATTTTGCGAAAGCAGCTTTCTGCCGAAGC